TGGCAACTTTTTTCACATCATATACTTTTGCAAGTTGAACTTGACTTTAAATGTGATTTTCTATAACCCCGCCAGCAGGTATGCAACATTCTGTTAAGTATTAGATGCACATGTACATTGTCCAAACAATTTTTAATTGCAAATAGATAGCAAAGAGAGATAAATCTATTAAAGCAAGGTATATGTGGGAGAAAAAAAATGCTACAAGCACGCTGATAAACCTCGCTCAAAGAATTGATTTTAAAACCAGAAGCAACCACAATAAAAAAGTACACAGGCCACCAATGCAGCCTTCAACCAAACACACACACACACACAGAGAGAGAGAGAGTTAACCCACCATTATGGGGTAATCAAATTCCCCATGATGAAAAAGTAATAGAGATTGGCCAATGTAGCCTGCGGTTGTAGAGTGAAATTTCTAATAATACAGTGATAGACTGGCCTTTAACAACACTCACGGCAGTCGTGTGTTATTATGATATCATAATAAAAATGCCCCAGAACTAATCTAGATTCTTTCCATTTTTTTTTTTTTTACAAGGAGATGCAGGTTATGAGGGGTGAAAGTCTCCTCATATTCTGTAAATAAGAAAACCCACCCAGCAAAGATAGTAGGGTAGACCTGTAAATTCGCAAACTGTCTTGAGACTAAATAAATCCTACAAAACAGATTTCATATTCTAGTTTAAATTTTTCACCTGGGTTGTGTTCAGTGTTGTTCAGTCGATGCTTACCTTCATTGTTTAGCTCCATGGAGACCAAAACCAAGAGCGACATCCCTCCTGAGCGTTTACGCCGCACATGACAGTGTATCAGGCCGAAGCTGATGCATCAGCTGTCTCAACAGGATACCAGAAGCTTGGGGATTATGATGGCAATCCTATGAGAAGCAAGAAAAACAATGAATGAACAAGAAGGGTATGACCAGCTCTTTTATTTGACTTTTGGCAACTGTAGCCCTGTTTCCATATCTGAGCTGCCAGGGTGTCTGTTGTGTTACCTTCTAAAGGGCCCTTCACACAGAGCATGTTTTTGTGTTTAAAACTGTTAAAAAGTTGTAACTTATTTTAACTTGAGCTCTGTTTTAAAAAAATCCATATCATGCGCAAGACGGGATTGCATTGGTCAAGGACGTCTGACTAGCACATGTTTTCAAAGAAAAAACAACAGTAAATGCAAAAGCTTGAGGTGCGTGACAGTGGAAGGAAAAAACGCAAGGTTTTGAGATGCGTTTTTTTTTTTAATTGAACTCTTTTAATTCGAGTGTCCCGTTTTTAGAACAGCCTAAAACCCGAGATACAAGGGAAGACACAAGCGCATCAATCGAAGACGTCCGTCCAGCACAGGTTTACATAGAAAAACAATGAAAAGGTAGTGCAGTAAGTGGAATGAAACAAAGCGTTCTGTGCGAACGACCCCTTTGGCACCACTGGAACAAACAAAGGCAATGCTAAGCTATAAACAAAACAACATCATAATAGCACAACATTCTAAATAGCTAGATTTTTTTTAATACCAAAAATCTATAAAATATTAACATTTTACCAATGTTACCCAAAATGTACATATGTTTATTTTTAGAATAAGATTAGTGCTCAACAAAAACAGCATTGTTGCAACATCTTGCTTAGCATTTTGTATTATTTGTCCTTTAAAAGATCTAGAAAAAATACTAAGCAAAATTACTTAAAATATTAGTCTTGTTTTCTTTACAAAAATCCAAATTAAGTGATTTTTTGTTTAAAACAAGAAAAGATTTACCTCAGTGAGGTTAAAAAAAATCTAAGGTTTAAGAATGTTTAGATAGTTGTACTGAGTATAGACTAATCCTAAGTAAAAACAATATTTTTGCAGTGTAAATAAAGCCTTGATTCAAATTTTCTCAAATTATAACAAAATATTGTCCATGCTTCATTCACACACCCAATGAGACAACGCATTCAGTACAAGTAGTGAGCGGGTGTGCAAGAGAGCCGCAGACTGTGTGTTTGTGTGTGCCGTTGCAGAACATGATGTCCTGGGACTTAATTATTCCACACAGACGCATCACTCTCACTGAAGGAACCCTAATTGAGGGATTCAGAACAAACACACAACAATGTACACAACTCCCCCCTCCCACTCTCCAAAGAGACCTCAGCTGACTGCCAAGGGCAATGTCACTGGGACAGCCCAGCAGATGGGCCTTTCAGTTTTCGTTTCTGATGCGAGTGCTTGCTGGTCCCATTGCGGACTTGTTGCAGCAGGTTATGCTTCATATGTTATGCTTTATCTATGGAGTGTTACCAAAATCTACTTAGTTGTGTGGCTGTAGAGGGGTAATACAAGTTACAACACTAGCTTTTATTTATAGAAAAGCTAAAAGGAGTCCACTGTATAAGTGCTAATGATGTTAACATAAGGGAAATATCAGGACTGTTAAACATATCCCGAGACAATTCCCGACATTCAATATCAGAGAAGAACAATATCCACCATTCATGTAGAACAAAAGCCTGTGTCTAATTCCTTGCCGTGTGTGTATTTGTGTTGTGTGTGAGAAGAACAGAACTAATCTCTCTTCCATTCAACATTGGAGTTACACTATAATCTGCTCACGTACAAAGTACTGCAAGGTTCAGTTCAGATATATGTGTGTGTGTGTGTGCGTGTAATGGAGTTTAAAAATAGAAACGGGCATTTCAAAGGAAATATTATGAGAAAGAAGAGAGCTCCAGTAATCAAATCACACATTACTCTTGTTTCTATAACCATCCTTGTTCTTTGCAAGATGATCAAATATCAGATAATCAAGACTCAATTAAATAAAATAAAAATGTAGTGTATCTAGTGCGGGGGTTTTCAAACATTTTGCTCCTATGTGCCCCCAAATATAATGATCCATTTGAAAGTGACCCCCCTCTCCTAAAAAATAAAGTTAGCTATATATTTTCACAAAAACCTATTTACACTCAATTAGAATTTTAATTAAATAATACATTAAAATTAAATAATTCAAATAAAATAAATAAATAAAATGAATATTATCAACTTAAATAAATTAATAAATAAAATTAAGATAAATTCAAATAAAATATTAAAAAACAAATAATCTAGAAAATATTTACTTTGTATCAAGTTTATCTTAAAAAAACAATTTCAATTATTTTAATTTCAGTTATATATATATATATAGACAGCCCTCCAAAAAGGAAAGAAAGATAACAAAAAAGATTATGTGCTAATAAAAACACAACTTTTATCTCTGCTTTTTTACAGATCTCATTTAATCTTTTTGTGCCTGCCTCTGAGTACCCAGACCAGTTTGAAAAACCCTGTGCTAGTGTACTCCAAAAAGTTGTATATATATATATATATATATATAGACCATTTTGCAAGATGTAAACAACACTGGTCCAGAAACACTTCCTGTTTCAGTTTGTAACTGTTTTTCACATGTAAAGAAAACATCTTAAAGATGTTTGTTTAACTTTTTGATTCAGTTTTATATGTTCTGTTGGTTGTATTTTATCCCAGCTTTTATGTAGTGGTAAAAAACTGAAACAGGAAGTGCTTCTGGACCAGTGTTGTTTACATCTTGCAAAACGGTCTCTATACATATATACAGTATATATATATACAGTATACACACACACACACAAAAAATTGTTCAATATTATATATATATATATATATATATATATATATACACACACACACACACACACACACGCACACACACACGCACACACACACACAATATATGTGTGTGTGTGTGTGTGTGTATATATATAATATTGAACAAATTTTTTTTTCTTCAGGAAAGCACCAAACACCAAATTTGCAATTTAACAACACAGTCTGAAACACTTCACTGGCTGTAATGCTAAAGATAAACAGTGAAAAGTACTATTTTTCAGAAACTAGGTCTACTGGCCAAAAATCTACAAGAATATAATGAAGTATTTGCAACTGAAAACTGCATCTACCATGCCAACCCACCAAACCTTGACCCATTGGTCAACACACTAAAGCAAAATGCATTGTCGAGCCATGGCTGTGTAATTTCAGCATGGCTAGCCTCATAGACTAGACCTCACCTTGGATACGGCAGTTCATTAGAACGAATGCGTCAATAGAGCCGCCATCTTGAAACAGGGGAGCCCCTCCACTTTAATGCATCAGCGTCAATGTAGTAGACACAGGTCTAACGCAAATAAAATCACCATAAATCATCATGAATGCGATTTTTCTTGTTTTTTTGGTTTGTTCCAACGGTCAGACATGTATTTATCATTGGTTCCAGAAAGAATTTTTTTTATTATTTTTTTAAAAAAAACATTCTTCCTAGTTCAGATTTCATCCGTGAACTCCATACGCTGCACAAAAGTCCGCCACCATCAATGAATTCGAAGTAAAGGCAGAGATAGCAGCGTTACCTAGCTATTTCCTATGACAAGACCCCTGTTCCAAGATGGCGGCGGTTTTGACGCATGCTTAGAACCCCCAGGTGAGGTCTAGTGTATATGTCTATGGGCTAGCCTCACCACGTGGAATTGCAAACATAATTATATTTTTCAAAGTTTTCCAATCTTGCCATCAATGCCATGAGTCACAAAAACAGTTTGTCCAAAACTACAGTTAAGTTAGCCAAAAGACGACATGACATACTGGGCTGGTCAAAACAAACAGAGTTTAGAACAGAGCAACAGTATTTACACATTTTCGGGATAAAAACAACTTACTAATATAGCTTTCTCTGCATTTGAATCTGTGACTAAGAAAGCATTTCACCTCTAAATGAAGACAAAGCTTCATTTGGAAGGGGGACATCATTTATAATATAGTTCACCGGTATTGTTGTAACGTTACCTTAACTCTAACTCACCTGCAACTTTGAAATGTTTAGGATTTTGAAAGTAGGCCGCCGCAGTTCTGTCGCCATCTACTGGACTGAGCGCGACCCTCCACGAGCCGTCAACGCTGGATGTTTTGTCGCAAATCAGGAACTGTCGTAACAGAACTTTTCCTTTGCGGCAGCTGTACACAGATACACGTGTTATCGGAGTTGTGAAGATACATGTAAGTTACACACTGCGAATATAAATACAGCTTTGAAGATGCGTTAACATACAATATTGTCCGTATATTGGCAATAATTACGTCTATAAGTGGTGCTTTTACATTACGTCTATTAAAGTTGAAAGCTAGTTTTGCATGCGAGGTGGCTAACTGGCTAACAATAATCTTCGTTTTTACAGCTGAGTTTTCTTACACAAATCGCTTGCGTCTGAAAATACTAAAAAATATATACGGGTGGTTGGTTATGAAGATAACAACAGATATTTGAGGGTGTCATGTCTGATATCCGAATGTTTTTTAAAAAACTAAAATATAAACTGGTTGGTTATGAAGATGACCGCATATATAAGTATCCTTTTCAGCATATATATATATATATATATATATATGTATATATATGTATCCTTTTCTTTATATTATATATGTAAAGATACGTGTGTGTGCGCGCACTGCATATATATTGTCTTTTTTCTCTACTTTTCTTTAGTTTCCATCAGCATGGCAAAGAGTTTACGCAGCAAGTGGAGGAGGAAGATGAGGGCTGAGAAAAGAAAGAAAAATGCCCCTAAAGAACTGGCACGACTCAAAACAGTGCTGGGTCTGGGAGAGAAAGGAGAGATCACCATGAAAGATGTAGCTGAGATCGCCACTGTGGTGCCACCTGAGAAAGTGAAGGAGAAATCTAAAGATGCAGAGATGCACGAAGAAGATGGTGAGCTTTTATAGAAACATTAAGCACTGATAATTATAGTAAGTGTTTTATTTTATCAAATTCAATTTTATCTGTTGCTTTGCAGAAGATGGTGGCAAGATGGATTTGGACACTAAACGCAATAAAAAGACAATGTTGGACGATCAAGGACGGTATCCGGTCTGGATGAACCAAAGGGAGGCAAAGAAAGTGAAAGCCAAATGTTTGGCTAAAAAAGGAAAGCCTAAGAAGACGAAGAAGGGTCTCGCCTGGTAGTTGAACTGAACTGCTCGAGCATGGACATTATTCCAGTATCAGCTGCATGGGAGCCTCGCTGTGCATCACTTTCATGTACAGTTTGTACGTTTCTATGGACATTTTTGCATGACGTCGTGCAGAAATATTCTTTACAGTGTTTACAATTTGGTGACAGACACTGTAGTGGGCGATGGAGAGTAAAAACACTGTACGTTACCTGCATTCAGCGTACCAAACACGACAGACTCTTCCAATAAAAGTCTCTTCTTTTCCTCTACTCCAATCCATGTCATTCTGTGGGTCTGATTTACTTTAAAGTTGTGAAGTATTATGTATTTTCTTTGCAGACAGAAAAAATTATGGATGTGCATCCTGTTTTTTATTTCAATAAATCCAATATATCTCATGGGAAATTTTGTCTTTTATTTTGTGGTCAACACATAATATTGAGTCAAAGAAAAGAGCAAAAGCCAGTTTCTTGGCATATAAATCTTGGAAATATAATATGATGTATCTCTATAAAGCACAACGGTACATTTTTGTACCAGGCAAAAGTCTTTATAATTGCAATAAAGTTAGAAATTAAAAGCCAACAACTTAAAATATTATTGCTACCATACTTTTTGTTTTAAAGTTCGGACCTTGGGAAAAATGTCATTGGAAAATATGACTAGTTATATTTATTTCATGTGTCATAATATATACACTACCATTCAAAATACATCTTATAAAGAAATTAATACTCTAAATCAGCACTAATGCATTCAATTGATCAAAAGTGACAGTAAAAATATTTAAAATAAATGCTGTATACTTTCATTAAACAAGTATTTAAGAAACCGGACAACCGTTTTCAGCATTGATTATAATAAATTTTTTCTTGAGCAAGAGCAACTTACTAATATTAGAATGATTGAAGACTGGATTCAAATGAAGCTGAAAATTCATCACAGAAATAAATTATATTTTAAAAAGAACTGTCATATTTCATAATTTAACTTTATTTTACTGTATATTTGATCAAATAAATGCAGCCATGGTGAACATAATAGACTTTACAAAACCGACCTCAAACGTTTGAACGGTAGTGCAAATAATCATATATATATATATACCCAATCTAACTTATCTTTGTAGAAAACAGTTCATGTCCACGTAATCTGGTAACTAACCATGTGACTTGAAAGGAAAATGTTGTCCAGTTAATAGAAACAGGCTAATTAAAACACGTTAGTATATTGCACTTGTATGTCAGAAAAATGAAATAAAAGAGAATTGTCGGCAAGTGGCAAATAAACACACATTTGATTTGATCATTGATTATTAGTAACTACAAAAGCTCCACAAAGGTGGAAGGAAACAAGCCTGTGCGACCATGACACGTTCCTTTCCACCAACCCTCATCCACCATCTCAATGTTAGTGATGATGTCATCTGGCATGAAGGAGATCTCATCACTGGCCTCTGCGAAAGTATGATTGAAAATAAATTAAGAGTCAGTTAAGAAGCTATTCAAGCAGATACAATGTCATTAATCAGTTGCTGTTATGGTTGTACGTACCTCCTTGGTAATCATAAATGGCTTTGGCTGTATTTCCCCCTCCACTTAGATCTTCATAATCGTTATCAACAGCAACTGAAAAAAAAAAAATAGGAACTACAGTTGTTAACAATCACAAAAATGTACAGCACTTGTAATTTGAACCATCTATTTGATCACACTTCCCACACAGTGAGTAAATGTTGTAAAAAATAGTGTGTGTCAAACCTGCGCATGAGCTAATATCCTCATAATCTTGGTCTTGAGGTATGGGGATGGGGTCAGGATCACATTCAGAATACGTTGGCTCCTCCTCCTCCTCTTCAATCAGGTCATCTGAGCGGGGCGGAAGAGAAGGCGGCTCCTCATAGTCCGGCTCCACCTGAAACACACAGATGATCAATTCTCTCAGTATATGAGCTTAAAAACACTATGACAGTTTATTACTTGACTCAATTGTGTCTTATATTTTAACAACTTACTTCATGCTTACATAAGAATCAACTATAAGACTGTTGAAGAAAATGGTTATGCACTGCTATGCGGTTCTATGTAGTTTTACCACAATATTATGCGTTTGCTAGGGTCAGTTACGAGTTAATGTAACATATGTACTGTCAAATAAAGTGTTAGTTAGCGTAGGGTGTTATGAGTTGTTTCCAATTAATGAATCTGGAAAACTACTCACAATTTGGGGTAATATTCTGCAGTTTTATCATTTGAACATGACCATTTTTGGACATTCTGTCACTGTAAGAATTGAACACAGTTTTTTTGCTACTGCACCTGTATATGTAAATCATCTATGTTATGATTGGCTGTCCACATGCGAAATGAGTGATAAAAGCCCCACTGAATACTGGATACTGAATAGATGTTTATGTATAAACGCAGGCATCGGTATGTTAATGTGACGTCATACTGGTTTCCGTATATGGTCTGGGCTGCGTTTCCCGAAAACATCGTTAGCCAACTATGGTCGTTATCAGCTTAGTTCAACGAGTCGGTGTTTCCCGAAACCAATCGATCCAACGAACATTCGCAAACAGCATCACAAACTTGTGTGGTTTGAACGACAGCTCTCGACCTGTGGTTAGAGGCATAGTTTCTATATTGCATCACATTTGGAAGTAATAAATCCTAATCTTGAGCAAAATAAGCAAGCTGACATTCAGTACAACCGGTGCCTTTTATTTAGAATACATACAAATGTAATTTACGTCTTTGAGTTTGTCAAAAGATTTAAAGTACCGTGTTTGAAGAGACTAGTGCGCATGTGCGAACGTGCTCTACTATGTAAGAACGAGCCAAATATTGAGTCTGGTAATGAAGCAAAATAACTGAGAGCAATTAGAAATAGTCCTCAGATGACACGTCTGTAATTTATATAAAACAAATCTAGCGTTAATTGGATCTCAAACAGTTTCATTAAAAGTAGTTATTACTCCACCACGTGCGAAACCAACGATACTTTGCGACAGTGGGTTTTGGGAAACAGTCGTGACTAGCTAGTTGATTTATCCAACGATGCTTCGTACTATGGTAGTGAAGCAGCGAACTACATAGTTGTAAGGGAAACGCACTCCTAGGTAGGAGTTTTGCGTTGTGAACATCATGTCTAAACATTTTTTTTTTTTTTTTTTCAAAAGAGCAACAAGCAACAACAATATAGCAAAAAGGGTCTTGCCTGAGCTTCTGCCTCTGGTTCAGCTCTGGGAATTTCAGGCAGTCTTCTGAACAACGGCTCTGGGGGATTCCGGGGTGCCGGCACAGATGGAGGTCTCTGATTCTCTTCCTCCTCTTTATGCTCGCTCTTCTCCTTAAAAGAGAAGTGTTATTAGTGTATGAAGAAGAAAAGGCTGGTGTGCGTGGGTGGGCTATCTATTGTTGTCATGTAAAGTGCAGCTCTCTCTCTCTCTTTCTCTTTCTATATATATATATATACAGTATATGTATCAAATGTGTACCTCCTGTTTGCGTTGTGCCTCTTCACGTTCTCTCTTTTCTCTAGCGAGTCTTCTGGCTCTCTCCTCCTCGGCTCTCTTCTTGTTCTCTTCATCAGAGGACTTTGCCATGTTCTCAAACCGAGCCTTAAGGTTTCCAGCTCCAACAGTTGCTATAAACACCAAGAACAGACAATCAAATATTTACAGCGTGCCTGAACTGTATATGATTCAACAGTTAAAATGCATCACTACTCAAAACCAATCATGTATAATTTCCAAAGACCTGTACAGCAAACACTCACAGGCCTCGAAAGCTTGAGGCTTTTCATAGGCTGATGATGGTGACTCCATCTCGCTGAAGGAAGCTGCACTCTGTGAGAAAAAAGAAAACACTCAATATACATTCACTGGGAAACTGTCAAACCAAATGAATCCTGTATGGAATCGCATGTTTGCCTAACAGTAAAAAAGAAAGAGAAGAGGATTTGTATTTCACCGTATCAAAATGCATTTCGCTTTTGCAACCTTGTTTTTCGTAATTGCACCTTCATGTAGGCCTAAATCTCACATTGTGACTTTATATGTTACAGCTGTGATTATTACTATAATTGACTGTTGTGACTTTTCATATAAAATCGCAAAGTGACTATATATCTCACAACTGTGATTATATTTCTCGTGACTATATGTTTCTGTTTCTTGTAATTGTAACTTGACATATATTATATCTCACAACTGTGACTATTTCTTGTAAGTGCAACACAAATAATGATGGCATAATACAAATCTTTGAAATGTACCTTGTCCATGCGATCTGCTTCGACTCCATAACGTCCTCCAAAACCCTTTGCATAGTCTGAAATAACAAGTGTTGCATCTCAGTTCAATACATCACATGTTGTAATATGAACTTTGACATGTAGTAATCTGGAAAATCAGAACTGGTCTTCAAAGCCTCAGGCCACGAGACTTACAAAGGAAGATGAATATCAGCTACTATTTTCAATCATCTAATAATAGAAAACACAATTTTTGTCACCCTTGTTACAAAACGTAAGAAAAGGGGGCACTAGTTGTGGCAGGGAGCCCCAAAGTCATAGTCCCAGGACTCTCAAAGGACAAACATTCAGATGTATGCCAAGTGTAGTGACACCTCTGCTATTACAATCATTACAAAACATCAGAATAGCCTAAATAAAAGTTTTGAAAGAGTCAAATGATCTCAGGAAATATTTACAGTACCTTTCTGTGACTGATGTTTCTCTGTTTCTCCTTTGTAGTCGTAACCCAAAGCAGCCTTGTCAACCTTTTCTTTTTCCACGCCGTATTTTCCCCCAAAGCCTTTTGAGTAGTCTGAGAAGTTCAGAAAAAAAAAAATTATGCTTTAAAAAGTATCCATCCACCAAAAAGAGGCCAAAGTAAGGATTGAGGACCAGGATGCTGGTCAATATAAAAGCAGAGATTGAACTTACCTTTCTGAGACTGATGTTTCTCCGTTTCTCCTTTATAGTCGTAACCCAAAGCAGCCTTGTCAACCTTTTCATTTTCCACGCCGTATTTTCCTCCAAAGCCCTTTGAGTAGTCTGTGAGAAGTTCAGAAAACAGAATTATGCTTTATAAACAATTATTCCATTAAATAGACAACAACATTAAAAAAAATAACAGCAGAGATTGAAATTACCCTTCTGTGACTGATGTTTCTCAGTCTCGCTTTTGTAGTCGTAACCCAAAGCGGCCTTGTCAACTCTCTCTTTCTGTACACCATACTTGCCACCAAAGCCTTTAGCGTAATCTTATGAACAGCAAAGAAGAGACTATTATAGCAAGAAAAGACAAAACAGAAGAGAAGATGCGAAGTGTTTTGGATGTACGAGTACCTTTCTGAGATGCATGCTGCTGAACCTCACCCTTATACTCATAGCTCATGGCAGACTGTAGTGAATCAATGATGAAAGATTCAAAATCATTTATTCAACCACATTTATTCAATTATTAATCATAGGACAGTGACGAGAGGGTTTCTAACCTTGTCCACACGGTCCTTCTGAACACCATATTTCCCCCCAAAACCCTTTGCTCCATCTTTCTGGGATGAGTGCTGTTCTACATCTGCCACGTAGTTGTGTCCTAAAGCACCCTGGGAAAATTCAACACATCATTTTTTTTTTATTAAAATCATCAAACTAATAGCGTTGTTTGAATTTGCATACATACAGTAGTGGCCAAATGCGATGTCCAGAGGGGATATTTGTTTTTAATGACCCTACTGTATAAGTTTGATTTAACCATCAAAATATGAGGAAAATATTTTACATTTTTAAAATATGGTTAAGGTATTTATCTGATGGAATTATTTGGCTAAAAAGGGCAATTACAGCTACAGGTTTGATTTAACTATACAATATATATATATATATATATATATATATATATATATGTTTTCTCTCTTTTTTTTCTTTTTGCATGTGACCATAATTACTTTGAATGACAGACTACCTAAAATTGATGTCCGCAAAATTTGGCACGTTTTAATGCGTTATCACCAAACACTCTAGAAAATGCTGGGTTGTTTTAACCCATCTTTAGGTCAAATATGAACAAACTCAGCCATTGGGTTAAATGTTTAAATGACATTTTTAACCTAACATTTGGGTTTGTCCATATTTGACCCAAATTTGGGTTAAAACAACCCAGCATTTTTTTTTTTGAGTGACTAAAACAATTGACTCCAAGCACAACTATGCAATAACCTAACAATAGTTATAACAAATTCTTAATATGATTTGAATAATGGGTGAAGATGTAAATTTCCTTAGGCCAGACATCACTTTTGGCCACTACTGTATACAAAGGAGTTACTGTACACTCAAAATATTTGAATACACGATAAAAAAGGTGTGGTCGCATCAGTGATTTTTCAGTAAGATTTTAATGCCAATTGGTCTATTGATAATAATGAATTTATGTATGAAGGAGAGCTCACACAGAAGTCACTTTCAACCAAGCAGCTTTCTGTAAATCAGTGCGGCGAATCTGCAAAATTTGCCTAGGGAAATCTTTTGCCATCACGTAAAAAAATTCCCAGTTGTGTGGATTCCCATTGAAATCACTGGATTTAGTGAGCGACTTGTTGGCCTGTTCTCAAGTCTAACCTTGTCCATTCTGTCTTTCTCAACTCCAAATTTCCCTCCGTAGCCGTAAGAGGCTTTAGGGCCCTGGTCCATCTCTTTCTTCTTAACCACCTCATGTTCCCGAGACACATTCTGCCTGAGATCTGCAATGCTGCACACAAAAACAGGCACATCGCATGTTACTACACGCTGCATATTTACCATGGAATGTGGCACTTTTGTTACACACTCAAATCTTTGCATTTGTTTATGGTGCTCATCTATGTGGTCAGCATGAACATTATGAAAATAAAATATATAGATATATCTTTTATTTAAAATGCAGTGGGTCAATGCAACATCTTATTCCGCTTCTGACATGACGTGAGCTTGAACTTATCAGTCCATATTTGGAAATGCAACTCAAGTCGGCAGCATTTCTACTTCCTATTTCCTCACTGCAGAGAGTGACACTCTTTCAGTTCCATGCATTGCAACAAGGTGCCATTAAAGCAACCTGCTATTTCATTTATAATCTCGAGATAATGTTTTCTGTATGTGTGTTACTGTTAACTGTTACCTGATGTGTTCTTTTCGGCCTGATCCTTCTATGGTTCTGGAACCCCATCTTTGCTCCTGCTCTGAAACATCGTTCTGAAACACAAACACATTTTTATATAGAAATATAGAAATCTTAACTCTAAACAATGGGTGTCCATTCCTGCTCCTGAAGGACCACTGTCCTGTAGAGTTCAGCTCAAACCCCAATTAAACACACCTGAAGCAGCTAATCAAAGTCTTTCTAGGCATACTAGAATTTTCCAGGCAGGTGTTGAGGCAGGTTGGAGCAAAACATTGCAGCCAGACAGTTACCCTCAGGAGCAGTACTTTACAGTAGTGCCTTTAGAGAACTTTTTAAGTATTATCCCTGTTTGCTTACCTCAAAATTTGGATCTGTGTCCCAATCGTCCCCCTCTGATTCGACCTTCACACTAACATCATGTCCCACCACGGCTTTCCACATCTATAGAAAGAGAAGCCAAGATGTCATGGCTCATGTTACATTTCCTCATGTACAGACATTTTTGAGTAATTAAATGTATTATGCTTAAAATGAAAAGCGATAAGAAGAATATAAATGTACTCATAGATGCGTAAAAAGTAATATTTCAGTAAGTGACTTATTCTAAGAAAATGTAAAGCAGTAGTAAGTCAAATTGGCAATGTCAAGACATCATGATCGCATCTTGATGGCGTAATTACACATATTTTTATTCAGAATTTTATGAAAAACTAAAAAAAAATTCATTTAATCGCTATAAGCGAAACAAAGAGTAAAGTTGTTGCACTTTGCAAGTTCCTCTTTTTTCTAGAGAATCAGAAACTTTTTATGTTCACGACTTCTCGATAAATAGGCTACCAGTAAGTTAATTTCGACAGTAATTCAGACTATGAACTCTGCAAGCACAGTAACGTTACAGGCAATGTGCAAAAATATATAAATTTGACTTCCTGCTACAAAGAAAAAAAAAAAAGTTCTATCAAAGTCTCACGCTGTATCACCCACTTCCTGACTTATAAGTTTATTTTTTCTTTATGCATCCGTAATAACAATACGAACAGATAATCATTGTTACTCACTTTATCGTGCTTTTATTCCTGGCTTTGTGTCCGTTAAGTAGTAGTATCAGTGCTCGCGATACACAGCAGATCAGACCTGCGCTCGAATGCGCGCCGCGGATACTACTGCACAAGAGGCGTCGGGCACGCGTTCACGCGCATCTGAATTCCACCAGCACATTTTTGTCCTATTCAATTGAAAGGCAAACATATAGTCAAATAATAATCTTAATTTTGTAAGTGTTCCAAATGTATTCAAAACTATGAATAAATTAATATGTAATAGAATACATATTTTATTTAATTAATGAATTAATTATGTTTTTAACCTTCGTTGTATGTATGAAACATTTTGTTTGGGTCAGATCCGATCCAACACAAATTGTGCAGGACGAGTGAATAATTTCGGCTTTGATAAGGTTTACTGTACAATCTGCTGTACAAGACCAGCGCCAACACACACAGTGTGTTTGTCTTCACATAAATAGACTTTATTTCCAAAAAATAGCCCCTACAACAGGGTAGCAGGAGGGAAAGAAAGGGTCATTTACAGAGATTTTACAGATTAAACACTTATTGGGCTGTGCTTAAAATCTCACTGTAAGAGAACATTTTAACCATAATCTAATCCAGCCCAAACAGATCTGAGTGACAGAAGAATAGTGAAAATAGGAAGTCTGGCTCTGGCTCAGAAAACCCGATTACTCTAAACATGAATGACTTGAAGCTTGATGAAGCCAACTTGACCTGAAACACAATCAAAACATCTAAAGAAATTGGTAATTAAACAATCCAAGATTAAGGCATTTTATTTATGCCTTTAAGGGTAAATAAAAGCAATAGTAGTCCAGGTGTAAAGACCATGATGTGTAGTTTGTTAAAGAAAATAAACAACAACCAAACCGGAAAAAAAATAAAACATATAAATGACAGTATTGCACCAAGCTGTCAAACTTATCTGCCATGAAAGAGAATGTCAGCAAACTAGGACGTTTCTAGTCGACATGTACAGTAACTGCATCAGCTTTGTCGTTACATTACATTTGAATGCACTGACTTTATGTAGAAATGACGAGATATCAAGAAAACTAATTATAGGAAGTTGGAATGTGGTCAAAATAAGTCTTTTATGTCTACCTTTATGCAATTTCAGACAATGCGAAACCCTGTTTGACAGAAGAAAAAAAAAACGGATACTATACCATGTCAACTTCATCTACATTTTACAAATGATGCATAAACATTCCTTCATTAATGATGGCGTCCTTAAAAGGGTAAAACAATGTTCTTGAGGAAGTGCAGGTAGTGCTCTAGTGTTACTAGCCTTGACAAGTCCCATTAAAACTGGGTGGAAATTATTTTTGTCAGAGCGCTCCGATAAAAATAGAGAGAACAAAACAAACAGAATCAGATGCAACTTTGGTGTAATAAAAAAGCAAGGAAAAATGTTTACAGACAAATGTAAATGAGTTAATCCTGCCCATTTGTTTTGTTTAGTATAAGTGAATGAATATGTAACTGTCTTCCGCTCAGTAAAGCCTGATGAGTCTCTCTCACAGATATCCTCCCATGCATAGCAGCAAGAGTACGTGAACAGTCAGCAGGTAGAGTGACGCCAGCAGAGGGGTGCGCTGACGAGAGCAGAAGGCAACTCGCAGCATCCGCAGCAGCCCAGGTCCACCACTACGAGTCTGAGATGAAGAAAATAAACTTAAAATATAAACGGTATCCCTCTCTCTCTACACACACACACACACACACACACACACACACATAAACATCTCCATGGCATGTTTATACCAAATGGTGAGGAATTGCATTGAGGTTTTGTTTACCCGTGTAACAGCACCCTCTGGTGGCTCAATAAGAACAGCTGTCTCTGACGTCATGGCTTCAGATGCTGTCTGCCACTCCCCCTGTGTGTAGCTGTAAATTATGAAGGATATTGACATATGTTAGTTTTCAAATTATTTCATTAATACATTTCACATAAAGGCAGTCTGCAGCAATAATGCCCAGAGTCAGGTCAAGTGAGAGTTAATCTTAATCTGAGATATGCGTCAAACCGTTTGATACGATCCTGTGCAGCGATGAGCTCCTCCTCTACTCTGAGTCTCTGTTCTGACTCCTCATCCAGCCTGACAGAAACACACAGATAGAATTGAAGAGTTACTATACAGCACTGTTAAGGGGGGAAATTAAAGTTAACACATGGAAAGTCTTTGAAAGAGTCGTGAGAGACCCATGTAACCTATGATTTATAGTTTAATAACCTAAACAAATAATCAGGAAGTATCTCTAGACTATATCTCAAGTAATTTATTGTTGATAATTGGTCACCATGTATTTGAGAGAACAGGAAACAGTACTGGGTAGATTATTTACAAATTGCTGCACAATACTGATTCCAAATTACACGAGAAAAAAATATTTAGTAGCAAAATCCATTACATTAAACATTTTAGGTAATATAATCCGACTACTTTTGCATTACTTTTGACCTACTTTAAATAGAATAGCCATTGATTTTAAAAACAAAAATAAGTCTAATAGAAAAAAATTACATATCACATGCTTTCATCCTTTCAAATACAGTATGAAGTATTATCTACAACTGCTAATAATGTAGTTTGTGGTGTTAAAGAGGTTGACAAAATGCAACTGTAGATCAGTATAATTAATAAGACTTAACATAGAAGCAGTACCTTCTCTGGAGTTCAATGAACTCTGCTTTATACCCCTCGTTGTGCTCTAGAGGACCACCAGGTGCAGCATCTACTGCAAGGCTTCCCTAAAAGTAAAAGAAATCAACATTGGATGCTTTAAACTAAAGACAATGAAAGAGATCAAGGACTTCAAAGATCTATACTTCCAAAGCGTATTACAGAACAACAAGACTAGAATTTATAAACGTCTCTAGCTACAAGAAAAGAGGCTGATGAATTGACTGAAAATAGAACATTTCTAGGTTTCTGGCTTCCAATATCTCATTCTTGAAAAGGAGACTGTAGCTTTTTACCCGTCTTTGTGTGAGCTCATGCTGTAATTTTGATGCACGTGCTTCCTCCAGCATGGCATTAAGCTGGCGAACCTGTTGGTCCCTGTCTGAGAGGGTGGCCAGGGTCTGCTGCTTCAAGAGCTCGGCCTGGCCCTGCCAGTCCGTCATCTCAAACCTACACATGTAAACAAAAAAACAAAAAAAGAAACGGGATTTTTCACTTTTGGAGGGACAGAAATTCTGGTCAAAGAATGCAAACATTTCTGGCAAATTCATTTCAGGCTGCCACCAAGACTACCACCAAAACAGAATGGATGAGGGCATGTCAAACCAATCAATCTTACCTGAGCATTTCCAGTTCTTTCTTATCTCTGTCCATCTCGGCATCTCTATCCCTCAGCTCTGCCATGATTTTTTCCTCTCGTTCCTCTGCCTTTCTTCTTTCTTCCTCTAAAGCCTGAGTGAGCCTGGATAGTTCACCAGATCCAAGTCGATCCAATTCAGACCGCTGCAACTGCAGCTGTTCCAACTGAGGAGCCATGAGGGATGCAAGTAATAGGTTGCAAACATTATTAAAGGTGGCAAGATGCAATATTTCCAATAAATTTTTAGGTAATCCATTACATACCATTCTTTCCCTGTCATTTTGCAATGCTGCTAGAGCATTTTTTAGGCTCCACACTTCTCCTTTGGAGACACTAGAGGGAGAAGCTGGGTGAACCGTCCGGTTTATGTCATCTAAACGGAGACGCAGTTCTTTGGCCTCACTGACAGCTTGATCTCTTGAGACCTGCAGAGAGGCCATGGCTTGACCAAAAGACTGGTTCTGAGCTCGAAGCTGACATGCTGCTTCCCTTTCCTCAAGAAGCTGTTGCTCCATCATCAACAGGTCTCGTGCCAACTCCGCCACCCTCTCCTCTGCTGTTTCAGCTTCGGTTCGCAGAACGCCGCCTTCCCACTGCAGCTCTTTCAACTCTTTGCTGTGGAGCGCCTGGTTCTCCTTCTCCAATTCCAAGGTCTCCTCCAAGGTGGTGATGCGTTTTCTAGCAGCTTTGAGTTGTTCCCTGAGCTTCTCTACCTCAGCGCCGGGTGCATCTTGCCTATCGACTCGAACATTTCCTTCGCTGGCCTGGATTAAGTTCTCCTGCTCCAATGCAGGTACCTTCCCTTGTGCAACGTCCTTTTCAAGAGCCAGAATATGGCTCTCAAGACCTTCTTTCTCTCTCTCCAGGAAACTGATGCGCTCTACTTGGGCAGCAAGAATCTGCTTGTGCTGGGATTCCTTCATAGCAAGAACCTGGTTCAGGTCATTTCTGTAACCATGAAGCTGGGCAGCCAGCTTGGCATTCTCAGCATTGAGGTCATCCCGCTGTGACAAAAAGGCTCGAAGCTCCTCCTTTAATCCATTGTTTTCACCGGCAGCCTCCTGGATAAGACTGTCCTTCTCCATCATTACCTGAGAGAACATTTTTTAAATAATTAATTAAGCAAATGAGGCTATGCGATTGAAATTTCAACGCAATAGTCAAATTATTCAGAGTAGCATTACCTGGAGGTGTTTTTCCTCTAGCTGCTTGTATTGGCTGAGTACTCTGTCTCTGTCATCCTGCAAGGAGCCCATAGCCTTGGTGAAGGACTCCAGTTGCGCTCTGCTCTGGAAGGTCTCCTCCTCAGCCTTACGGAGCCTCTCTTCTAAACCTCGTAGCTCTTCTCTCCTCTCCTCCAGCTCTTTTTCTGCCATCTCAGCCCTTCCATCTGCATCCTTTCTAGCCTCATCTACAGCCTAAAAGAAAGGGAAGCCTACTGTATTATTATTTAGCATTAAATTACTAATAATGAGATGAATGAATATACATCGATTCATTTCAGAAACTATGGTATTATTCAGTATAAGTACCTGCGTCACAGCTTGCTCCTTCTCACCAAGGAGCTCCATTTCCCTTCTCTCCTTCTCACTTAATGCAGCCTGAAGAGTTTCAGTAAGGTTCTTTGAAGATCCCAGGTCTGTCTCCAGTTGCTCAAGCCTCAAGTATAGTCTCCTTTCCTCTGTCTCCCTTTCCTTGATCACTGCACGTGCCTCATTAGAATCACCCTGAAGCTTATACACTGCTTCTTCTAGGTTTTTAGTGCGGTGCC